TCTACTAAAAAGTGGTGGGTTCCATCTAACGAAATCTATTAGCAATTGTCGAGAGGTGCTTGAGCAAATTCCAGGAAGTGAGCGAGCAAAGACTTTGGTGAATTTGGATCTTGATAATCTTCCGGTGAAACGGGCCCTGGGGTTGTATTGGGTTAAACTAATGAGACGTATGTTGAAAGAATTATTTAAAGCAGGGGTGTGCAAACTGTGGCCGCGGGCCAAATGCGGCCCGCAAAGAAAAATTGTGCGGCCCGCGGAGAAGTACCAAGTTTTAATGGTGTGCCCACGAAACGAATTTTTAGTTTAGATGATCTGTACGTGCGAGCAATTTCAATCTCTTTGCGTCGCAAAGCTTATACCAGTACCTGAGTGCCACTGTCATAAGCAGCACTATATGCACTATTTCTTCTCAGATGACCTTTTGTGTATGCTTCAAGTTTGACTGAATTCTAGAATTTGCCGTGCTTTTGATCGGATTCGTTCCGCGAAACTGAAGCTCAATGTCGGTAAATCGATGTTTTTGAGTACAAAGTAACTCTTTTGGTCATGTTGTAAGTAGTGAAGGTAATTACCCAGACACTGAGAAAATTAATGCTTTGAAGAGTTGGTCTGTACTGAAATCATTTTTGGCGTACAATGAGCGTTTAGGTAAATTTCCCGAAGGGAAATAGATGAGATTGCGAACTTGTCTCCAGATTTGAAAACCTTGGGGTCAAAATTTGGTGATTTGAAAATCATTGATGACGTGGGTGCATAGACGTTTTAGAGGTTCAATCTTGGAAAAGATTCTTATAGAATCGTGGTTCCCAAACTTTTGACTCCCCTAGTACTTCATCATGTAATAATAATAATTTTAGTGTTAAAAGAACTCGTTTATGAGCAATGCAATGTCAATATTGCCATTCATTGTATTGGGACGTAAATGATTTCGTTAAATCTAGTTTGAACAGCCATTCTAAATTTGTCCAGTTCCGACTCGTAAAGCACATCCGGTTCTTACAATAATGAGTGACATCAACAAACGAGTAAGTTGTGATATTTTTACGATTTCGAAGTCCAATATCTGGAATAAGAATATTTTTTTATGATTGGCAACTTTAGTAAATAGGTACGATGTGTAGCAATTCCTGGTCAAAAGGCTAGTACGATAACCGCTATAGTTGTATTGATACTCCGCCGGAATCTGTGCATCCTGACTCAGGTTCAAATTTTGAAAGGTATATTTTAGGGATAAGTGTAAAGAATATGGTGTTAATAAAACCAAAACGACTTATTTGCATCAAATGGGTAATGGATGTACAGAAAGATGTCAAAGAACAAATTTTGTTACAAATTTAGCTCCATTTGACTGTTTCTAAAAAATAGATTAGGGATTTTGTTTCACCATTGGCATATTATGCTTATAATACTGCAATACATGATTCGACTGATATTCCGCCCCTAATTACGTTGATTTACGAAATTGTACCAAATGATACTCCTTTGACCTGAGTAATTCTAGAGACCCGATGAGCGACGATTCTCACGGAAGCAATTCTCGTGAAATTGATAGTGCATTAGATGTTATGTCTAGGAAAGATTACCCTTTATAACAAGGCGTGAACTTTGGTTGTCGTGGTACGCCCGATACCCAAAGTACTCCACAAATGAAACATCCAAAAGCCCTTCATGCGAAAACTCGTGTTGCTAAGTTACCTACACATCTTGAAGATTTTTCATTATATATAATAAATTCGCGTTATTATTTTTATTTCAGTATATTCATATTGATGAGTGTGTAAATTTGAGTTTATTTGTATATCATGCTTTATTTTTATTATTCACAGTGTTTATTGTAATTTTCAATGTAATCGTTTCTATTGTGCAAATTTTCCTATTGTCGCATTATATTGCCTACTGTATTTCAATATTTTTCAATTATATTTTTGCCGAGCTTAAGTGGAAACGCCTTCATCCTGATCAGAGGATGTAAATTTTTCTTTTCGTAAATTGTCATTGAATTTATTAGTTCTGTCATATGACGCTTCCACGCTGTACGTTTGTTATTACTTATCGATCTTAAGTTCGGTAAGTATGTTGATAGGTATTTGTCTGTTTGTTTGTTCGTTTGTCTGTTAGATACACGCGATATCTCACGAAATCAAGGTTGAATATGCTCCAAATTTTGCATGTGCATCCATCATAGTTCGGAACAGAAGCCTATTGATTTTCCATGAAAATATGTCGTATACTTAGCGAGGCATTAATCAATTAGTGATGAGACACACGGTGTCACTATGGAGTAAGAGCTCTGTTTTGGGGGATCCCCTAACCTCCGATCGATAAGTCTTCGGTCTCCGACCGATATTCTCGTGTTATTATATTAAATGTGTCGTATTTCCAATTGTTGGTTTATTCAATATATTCACACCTGTAATTTGATATCCGAGTTCACTTGTATCTGAGTATCGGAACACTTGCAATACAAAAGTGTACCGTTGGAGCGGTGTTAATATTTCTGACTGCTTTGTGTTTTATTGTATTATTATTCTTCAATTGAATAGCTGAGTAGTACAGCCTTTTTTCCAAAGCCAGTCAATGGTCATTTAGAGCGAGTCGTTTAGCCCAGCGCACCGTTGCCAACCCTGCTACGTTTTGTATCCAAGAATTTATGTTCAATCCAGGGCTGACGAGTCAAAGGGAGCACTCGTAACGTTTCCTTGGATATCTCTGTAATAGATGTGGCTGGTTCCGGAGCTAACGAAAATTCCACTGACTCCTGCTCATAACCATCTAATTATTTTTGCGCATTGCTTTTGGGTATAGGCAGTACAGCAGTAGTTCACATCAAAAATCGTCAGTTGCATGTCTGGAGTCGGAGCTAATATGATTTCTAACCCGACCTTGGTTAAATCAAATCTATATTCTGCTTATTATAATATTCTTATTGAGTCTGTAATTAAGTCCCTTTGCGCCAGTATAGTTTTCAATTGTGATTTTCAGAATTAGTCTTAATACTAATTTGCTAGCTCCCACATATTTGCAGTGTGTTTATGTCACACTAGTTGGATGCCGAACGAATGACGTTCGTGTTTTTATCTTTTTTTATTGTGCCTTTGCTCCTAAAAATCATTTTGGAAAATGGAAGAAGAAAAAAATAATTGAATGTACTAAAGGCTATTTTACGTTATTTTCAATTGATCAACAAAAATCGCTGCTTTCATCGAATGGAGTGTTAATGATCGAAGCAAATTCATCCGATGTCAAAAAGCCGTATTAAAGAAAACGATCTTGATCTGAAAAAACCTGAACTGTAAAGACACTCTTAAAACACAAATTATGCTAAATTTTACGTGTTTTCTGATTATTTCTTTTATTCAATTATTTAGTTCTTAGTTATTTATTTATTTCCTCATTTTATTCTTTCTTTTGATGGGTATATATATATTTAATCATTCCCACTTTCTGTACATTAGTTTTTAATATATACTATTTTTTTGTTAATGCATGTCTTCTATTTGTTTTCAGTATGGGCATCTTTTTATCGTACTTTTCTATTTTGTTAAACTTGTAAACTACTTATTTGTCAGTTTTCAGTTGTGTTTCAAAAAAATAGATTTAAATAAAATAACTTAATTGTCATTATGTCTTCCGAGGACCTGTAGTTTAGTTGCAATATTCAAAATTGATCCCGCAAACCTTGCGATAGACTAGACCAAAATTAGCTATCAATACCCGTAAGCCGCACGTGGATTGATGTATTTAATGCAAATGATAATTTTGAGCATGTGAGCCAGCATGTAAGCGCCACCGCCACAAAATAACAGTCGAAATGCAAGATAAAGAGTAGGGTGATTTTTTAGGGGTCAAAGGTCGGGAAAACGTCCATCACGCAGACAAAATAAAACAATAGAGCTGTGCTCAAATATATGGACACGTTAACCAGAGCGAAGCAGTATTTACCTTTGACGCCACCGGTACCCACAAAAAATTCCGAGTTTCGCGTAGAAATAATTTTCAGAATCAAACCGGACAGCCAGTGTTCCCATGGATAAAATAATACAGCGAAATTTTAGACGAAATATCAGATTTCATGCGAAATTTAGAAATAAATAAAAGTAGGCTAAAAGCCTTCTGACAAAAAAAATCAATCTTTACTCACTGAAAATTTCAAAGCAATTGGTCCAGTATTCGAAGAGAAAAGCGATATTTTAAAAATGATGGAGACAAACAAGAGAGCTACGCCCAAATATATGGACACGTCTGTTCGCAGTACAGTACGGTGTACCGTACCGTCAGATCACAGTCTACAAATATATTCACACCAAGCGAAGCAGTACAGTGGGACACAAAAGGGCGTCCGATGTCCGCAGAACGTTTAATGACGTCATAGAAAACAAAAACAAATCTCACAGAGCTAACAGAAATATATTATAAAATAATATAGCCTTCTGGGGAAAAATTTCATCTTTAACCACTACAAATTTCAAAGCAATTGGTCTAGTGATCGAAGAGAAAAGCGGTTTATTAATATCTCCACTAGGTGTCCAAAAAGTGTCAAAGAACAACAACAACAACAACAACAAGACCAACATAATATTGAAACGATCGTTATGTCCACTCCGTGTCCAACAAGAGAGCTATGCTCAGATATATGGACACGTAGCGCAACCAAGTGGGAATAATTTTGATGACGTCATAGCGAAAAAAAAAGTGATGGCCTTCCGAAGAAAAATTTTATCTTCAACCACTGAAAATTTCAAAGCAATTGGTCCAGTATTCGAAGAGAAAAGCGATTTCTTCAAAACGTGTCAAAGAACAAGGACACTAAGAACAACAATAAGAACAACAACAACATAATATTAAAACGATCGCTATGTCCACTACGTGTCCAACAACATAATATTGAAACGATCGTTATGTCCACTAAACGTGTCCAATTAGAAAAGAGAGGAAAAGGAGGAAACATGAGATACTGTATATTACTTAGTAAAACGAAAAATATACAAACAAAAAGTAAATAGAAATAAAATAAAATTTTGCCACACCATATTAATAATTTTGCAAGAATTGCCAAATTTGATGCAGAATTAGTTAACAGGACTGAAATATAAAGGTAATATATATTCATAAAAAAATATCGCCAAGTTGATTATAGAAGAAATTTCCTAATGCTTAAGATCGTCAACTTGTATCCTTACCAAAATAAAAATAAAAAAGCAACAGAAAAAGTAAGTGTTTCAGAAGTGGAGTTGCGTTGTGCCCCATTTCAATAACTTTTATAAGAATATTTATGTGAAAAATATTGGACTTTATTTATCCCGCTAGGAAGCGTAATACGAAAAAACGTTTAGTCTGCAACCAGTGTTCTGATATCACGATACTGTATTGGTGACTAGTTTACTGTCCGACTCCGACTGCCCTCTAACATCAGAAATTCAGAACTGACAAACCAGTATTCGTTTTAACAGATTTAGGTACAAATGTCAGAATTCAAACATTGCACGTGATAAACATTGCATTGTTGGTTAACTTTGCTGCCATGGATGTTTTCAACAAAATCAAGAGCACTTTGACTAGCACTGTCAGCGAAATAGCAGCAGCTCTGCCAGGTAGGTACAACATCACGATTCTGCTTTCAGGCATTCTACCACAATACAGGAAAACCGTTAGGCTTGATATATCAATTCCTCATTTACATACTTAAGTACTTATCACTGTCATAAATATTGTCAATTTTGGTGACATAGATTTAAAACTAATGACAGAATGAACTAATTTTCCGACCCATAATTCTGTAATGTGAAGTTAATGCTTGAGTTATTGCAAAACTCATAGACTTGTGGAGAGCATGATGCCATGAGATGATACCGTATATTATTGAATTACAGAATTATAGACCTTGAGTGATGTAAGGATGTTGATATTGTTTCAATGCCATGCGATATTACTGTATTAATATTACTGTATTACAACATATAAAGGTAGTAATTTATTATTTCAGGCAATCCATTACTTCGAGAATATGATATTGGAGATCAAGTTGCAAGTGCTGGACCTGATTATTTATGGAAAATTTATGAAGGTACAAAGAAATCTACTAAGGCAGTGAGTATTCATGTTGGGTAATGTATACAGGTATACCAAGTTGTTTCTTTATTTTTTTTTCTTTTAATGTGAATTCACTTATGATCATAACTACTAGTATCATGTCACTGAAGACACTAACACATGCATTATTGCTCCTTCACAACTTGAACGTATATATGGGAATTTCACCATCACATTTCTCAAATCTTCTGCTAGTTCAATAAATTGACTTTCAACGAAATAAAGCTTGAACAATACACTGTTTTTCTGTCATAAATTGCAATGCTCGAGTGTAAATAGCTGTATCACATGCTTTTAATTGTTATAGGCAGTTTCAATCTTCGTGTTGGAGAAACGTCAGGTGGATCAGTATCCTAGAGGAAGTCGAGAGTTAATATTAGAGGCAGTTCGAAAAGGAGTTATCCAGCTAACTAAATTACGCCATCCTCGGATTTTGACTGTTGAGCATGCTGTCGAGGAATCAAGGTAAATATAGTCAGAAGTTTGTTTGCATCACATTTGCCTTCATTTTGTTCATTCTCTCATTCTTCTATGCAATTAGCATCAAAATTTTTGACGCTGTAAACATGAGTTTCAAAAATGGTTTAATCTGAATTCAATGGTAAATCATTATAGTGAATGTGGTTCTACACTTACTTGGTTCAAATCAAGTTCAAACAGGTACCCCAAAAGGAATGGTTGCCTTTGTTTCTCGATTTCTTGATTTCGATCAAACTTTTTACCAGCTGTGGTGTTGCAATATCTATGTATATGTATGAATTCAATTGGGTATTAGACTTTTGTGGTTTTGTATTAAATTTTTTATCATTTTAGAGACAGTCTTGTTTTCTGTACTGAACCTGTTTTTGCAAGTTTGGGTAATGTTCTTGGCAACAAGCAAAATATTGCTGAAATTCCTACACCTCTGAGATCCTTTCACTTACATGATGTTGAAATAAAATATGGAATTTTACAGGTATGGTTTTGAGACCCCTAAAGTCCCCAACTGTATCTCAGAAATCTATATGTTGGTTTATTCTGCTTAATTCTTTATCTGTTCATTTGGTTCAACTTGCAATGCTGAAAATTATCTTTATCTTACCATCCTACCTATGTTACAGATCTCCGAAGGTTTAAGTTTTCTTCACTCCAGTGCTAAAATGTTACATGGAAATTTATGCCCAGAGTCCATTATAATTAACAAACAAGGAGTCTGGAAACTGGCTGGATTTGACTTCTGTTTGCACAATGTCAATCAAACTGGTGAGGTGAGCATTTGTATCATGATATAGTATTGGGAATATGTAAAATATAATTTCAAATATCTTGAATTTGTTTTCAAAGGTAAGCTGAATGATGTAACGGTAAGACCTGACGAACAAAGTCCTGAAGTCTTATTGCGGACTATTTGATTTAGTCTTCCTAAAGCTTTTTTCTTTATCCATTATCATCCTAAAAAGCCATAAGACTAGTTGACTAGTTTGCCATCTGTGTCGTTCCAACCAAGCTAACTCTCGAAAAATGGTTTGAAACCTATGATTTGTGCTCAGTAGCATATAAGCCAATTGATCTGATAAACATTTATCTCTTAGTTATCTCAATATCTTAGAAAAATGCATTTCATGAATCCCGATCAAATATGTCAAATTATATATTGGAGTTGCTTATTTGATTAGCAGTAAAATTCTAATATAGGTAAGTAGTGAAAGAGTATATGATTTAAAATATTATGAACTCAAACAGTTTTATGTATTCAAAATTCAACATTGCTATGGAGTTGGAAATATTATATTGGGGTTGAATGGAAATATTGCTATGGCATTTATCTGTTGTTTATGGCAATTTGTGCACATGTAAAATCAAATTGAATTTAGTAATGAACAGCAAAAATAGACTTTAGTATGAATTTATTGACTCCATGAAATGTAATAATTGATGTAATTATTTTTTTTCGGTTCAATATACAATTTGAATAGTTACCGGTATATCTGGATAGGTTTGTTCGATTCGATTCAATAAAGTTTGTAAGGCAGCGAGCTATTCATGACAGTAATAAATAGGCTGTTCAGATTTCAAGTTTCGAATAATTTTTCCAGGCAAAGTTCACTTGCCGTGACTGGGACACCACTCTTGCATCTGCTGCGCAACCAAACTGCAAATACCTTGCTCCTGAAATCATTCTGGAAAAGAGATGTGACTTTTGCAGTGATTTATTTTCACTTGGTGCTCTACTTTATTCTATATATTATTCTGGAAAACCATTAATTGAATGCACCCATACTGATGTGTATAGAGTGATGTCAAGGTCGGTTGACAAGGTATGATAGTATGATGATTTGCTCAATTGTCAAGAGACTAACTTTTGTTTTGTTTCTGTTGTATATGTTTTGAAATTCCTTTGTTGTGATTTACAAATAAGGATGTCTAAAATAAATGATTACATTTGAAATTAGTTATAGTTGATGTAGTAAATATAAGATTTTAGGAATAATTGTATTTAAAAATTTGTCATGTTGGACTTTCATACCAATTTTTGCCATCTCCGGTTGTGAATTTCCTAAAAAATTCATGTAATTGATTACATTTTAGCTTGCATTTTGATTAGCTTCTACTTTTCATTTGCTAAATGAGGATATTGCATGTTTATTTGAAAACATTTTAGTGGCTGTCGAAAATAACTCTTATAGCCAGATCTACCATCTTTAAATTACTGATACCCGGCTAACTTTTAGATACTTATCTGTTTTAGTTGAGGAATTTGTCATCATATGAATTAGACAAAGTTCCAAACGAAGTTGTTGAACACGAAAGAATGTTAATTCATCCAGATTCTTCAATTAGACCGGATGCTGATCAAATGGAAAAAGTAATGTTTGAAATTATATTTTTATGATTTGGTCACTACAGCAACTTTATTATCGTTTTAGGGCTAGTAAAAGGCCATTTTTTTTTAATTACAATTAGATTGTTCCCACTTCCTGCCATCAGACTTGCATAGTTTAATGCAAAAGATACTGATAATATGGTCTTTTATACCATAGTTCATTTAATTAAGACCTCTTGTCTGAAAAAATCATTTTTATTCATATGGTTTCATATATTTTAATTTAGCTCATGCAATGATATTTTCATTCAATCTATTTATTTTTAGCTTCCATATTTTGAAGACATTGGAGTCGTTACGTTACAGTATCTAGATAATATTCTACAGAGAGATAACTTACAAAAATCTCAATTTTTTAAAGGATTGGCTCAAGTGTTGCCAAAATTACCCAAAGTAAGTTGTCCTTCCATATTTTGTGTTAGATAATAATACTTCAATTTTTCTGATACCAAATTATTTCAATATTTTAAATCATTTCAATACAGACATTTGCTTATTATTCGTTATGTATTATTCGTTATTCGTACTATCTCTATCAGACATACTTATGTTAGGAAGGTATTTCGGTACACAATTCTTACCCTGTATCACAGCTGAAACATTTTTCGTTTCAACGAATGAAATATGAAGTATGATCTAATTGATTATTAGAGGAAATTCTGTTCAATTTTTATAAATAGTACATTAGCTCTTAATTGGTGATGTCATATATCCATATGGTTTTTTACTTATTGGTATTGCAACAAAATGCAAATGCGCAAATAGCAAATTGCAAAAAGATTTTGCATTCAAGTAAACCAAAAATCTTTCAACTCTATATAGCCATATGGATATTGTATGTATTTTCTCTGAGATTGAGATGCAATTTCTCTTTCATCATATTACTAGCATGTTCTGGTTTATTTAGAGAGTTATCATTCAACGAATCTTACCCAGTTTATGTGCAGAATTTGCAAACTCTGATATGCTGCCATTTGTGCTTCCGAATGTACTGGCCATTGCTGAAGATTGTGATGAAAAGGAATTTAGAACATTAGTGTTTCCTGCACTTCTTCCTATTTTTAAAGTTCAATCTCCTATACAGGTAGTTAGCAAACCTTTTGAAATTTATATAGTCGTTGGTGGATTCAAACTCTATTTTTTTTTATATTAGCGAAATTGTTATACATAACTAGATTGTTCTATATGTTGTTTCTTTTCCATGCCTGGAAATAAGAATTTGCTATCATACGTATGTTAGATAGACCACACCTCATCTGCAATGTATTATTATATGCAATTTAAACCAGTAAATGATTGTAAGTAATAGATAGGATAAGTACATAATTAAATGATTGTGTATTCTCATCAATTATCTTAGACAAGTGTATGGTGCCATTACTGTTTAATCATTTTATCTCGATTATTTTTGTACATGTGACGTCAAAAAACAAATATTTTTTTAAACTCCTTTTAATTATAGTCTGTTATTTTATATCTGAAACTTTTGTTAAGATTATCAGAAAACTTTGTTTTGCAATTATTTTTTCATTTGCTTTCTGATCAATTCATCTAATACTTTAGTTAATCAATGGGTATCATTAATAAAGACCTTGGATTTTTTTACCAAGCTTTCTAAAAGAAAACACTTTTCATCCTCAACTATGACCAACTTTAAAATATGTTTGGTCATTTAAAACCTATTACTAGTGATTCAATTGAGAAAGAAATTAAACTGGAACTCCATCGATTGAAACTGATCAAACATAGGTACTTGGGGAACTATTTCATTTCTTGGAAATATGTCGCAGTAAGAGGCTACGTCTCATTCAATATTGATGTCCAATTTTTCCTTGTTTTTTGCCTTCTAGGTCCTTCTAATTTTTCTTCAAAAAATGGATTTATTGTTGAAGAAAACTTCAAAGGAAATGGCTCAAGCACATTTATTACCAATGATATGCAATGCACTTGCTGCTCCGTCAATTCAAGTCCAAGAACTCTGTCTTTCGATCATTCCAACATTCGCTCGATTACTTGACATGCCATCTATGAAAAATAGCATCATACCGAAAATTAAAAAATTAATATGGGAGGGTGGAACTGTGTCGGTAAGTGTGAAGTGAAAATTCTTTATTGTCTAAATGGGAAAATCAGTTGACACATGATGTGACAATAAATAGTGCATTATTGCTGCCATGTATATTCATATTCAAGATATATAGAGCATAACTGGTAGTAGCGAAACAATGTAACTTGCCATGTTCGGGATTTCTCTGTCGAGAAACTCCATCATGACATATGGTTAGACATTAGTGTAATATATTTATTATGAAGAAAATTATCAAGATGTGCATGTGAATATGGTACTACTAGCAGAACAATGTAATTTACAATGTTTGGGATTTCTATGCCTAAAAACTCCATCATGACATTGACATGACATATAGTTAGACATTAGGGATTTAGTGTAATATATTTATTATGAAAAAAATTATAAAGACATGCACTAGTGCACCATATTATGGCCTGATTAAATTTTTCTTTATAGACGATCGAAACAGCATCAAATGATATCATTTTGGTAACACCAGTTGTGTTCTGTTTAAAGTATTGTTATTACCGGTAATGTGTGTTTTGTACACATAAATTTGTTTGATATACTAAGTCTGAATCTGAGGATTTTCAAATATCACTTCCAATTGAGTTCAATCCTGTGGATGTTAGTTTCCCATGCATTTTTGTACTGAATGCAAACTGGAAAAATGTCCGTCATCATTTTATACCACCAAGTGTATTAACAGTGCTTACCTAATTTTCATACATATTTATCACTCACCTCAGTCACCGGTATATTGTGTTTCTATAGGTACGCATCAATGGCCTTGTTTGTACAGGCAAACTTCTACCTATGTTAGACAAGTGGTTTATATACGATCAAATATTTCCGATCCTTTTTCACATTAAATCTCGGGAACCAGGAATTTTAATGGCATTACTCGGAGTATTTCAAACAACATACAGTCACAAGAAATTAGGTGAGCGTAATGGTAATATTTTTGGCAATTTGTCGTACCTTTTTAATTTATATTTCTTTCATCTTTGTTCACTCAGGTATTACAAAAGACATTCTTGCTACCAAGGTTATACCATATCTACTACCAATGACTGTTGAAAATAACTTAAATCTACAACAATTTACTACATTTATTACTGTCATAAAGGTTTGTAAATATAATATATAAGTAAGTTTTTATCATTTCAAATACGCAATTTCTTGCTTTTTCGGATGTGCTTGAACATTTCTAATATAAAAATTGATGCAGACGGTGGACTAGATCAAGTGTGTGCAACATTTTTTGTAGGTGGGCCATAATACCATATAACCAACTTCAAACAAAGGGCCACAGTAAATGGCTTGGCGGGCCGGTTTGTGGCCCGCGAGTTGCACACTCCTGGATTAGATAGTCTATTCAAAAACTAAGTATATTATAGTAAAACATCACCAGCCAAACAATTTATAGCCATAAAAGATGGAGAAAAATTATAATTTCAGATTCTAAATTTTCAGTGAATGATCAGAATTGATTTCTTATCCTAATTTTTCACAGGAGATGTTACAAAGAGTAGAAAACGATCAAAAATCAAAACTGGAACAGCTGAGTCAAATGAAAGTTGTTGAAAGCACGGAAGCATTCAATAAATTAACAAGGAACGAACAACAAACCAATATGTCAAATGGAGCAAAAACTGAATTGGTACCCAATGTTTCACCTGAAATTTGTTTCTGAGTTTATTCTTTGTAATGACCACTGTTGGCTTATAGTTAGACTGATAGTTATGACATAGTGTATAATTGAATTGAAACAACCTCAACATACAATTCTGAAGACACAGATCAAAAGCAAAATAATATTCAAATTTGATTATTTAAAAAGTAGAAAAGTTTATGATCAAAAATTTATTTAAAATCTTGCTGCCAGAACCATATACATGTTTTTAAGACTCATATATTTAGTCTAAGTGATATAAATTAGTCAGATATGAAAAGTAGCAAAGTCTCATAATGAGGTGAGGTATGTTGCCATCACAGCTTGCAATCAATTATGACGTTACATGTACAAAGCTGTTTAGAATAATTTTTATTTTTATATAGGCCAGCAATGGAAGTTTTCTCAAATCACAAAATACGGAAATGACAAGACAACATTTGACATTAGAAGAAAAACAAAGACTCGCAAAAACGAAAGAACAAGAATACAGAATGAAGCAACAGGGGGAATTAAAACCAATTCAATCTTATAAACAGCAAAATACTATTTCAAATACGAAGGTATGTTGCATTTTATGTACATGTGTTTGGCCTAGTATGTTGGGTACTCCCATAGTATCTGAACCAAGATGGCGGACACCGGAACGTAGTATGTGTACCAGGTTAGGATTGGGTCATAATTTCAGTTATAAATACTATGGGAGTCACTTGGCTAGTCCCCGAACTTGTACTAGAACTAAAATAAGGAAAATTGGAATTAGGTTCTGGCCTAACCCTAACCTGGTTCACATACTATGTTCAGGTGTCCGCCATCTTGGTTTACATACTACGGGAGCGTCGTATGTTGTGTGTTTCTGAGTGTATTTATTCTTGTCGGCAGTCTTAGTGACAGTTGGAAAAAAAAAAAAAATTTTCTTTTACGATGGCTTCCAGTTTATATCATTCGTAACATTATATGCAAGTTGTTAACTGCAATTGTATGGATTTACAGCCTAAAGATTTAACATCAACTTTGAAGCAGAACAACCGGAGTATGATAAATAGTAGTAAAACCAATAATGTGATGTCATCAGCTAGTACAATGAACAATATGTCAATGGGTTCAGCAAGAAGTACATCTATGAACAAAACCTCTATACACTCTGCTCCGATGATACCGCAACAACCTAGTTCAGATCGCCCAAGTTATATGAGTAATTCATTATCTCAACCTGGCTTATCATCATATGGTGGTTCGATGGCACCTATAATGCCTCAGTCATCTAGTGTGATAGGTAACTCTGGATTGCCCATACAGTCATGGAACACTGGGTCAAGTAGTGGTAACTTCGGAAATGGCATGGGCCAAAAGTCATCTTTGGATAATCTATTATCAATGCCTTCTTATGCGCAAAGTCAACCAATGCAAAACATGCAAAGTCACATTCGCCCACAGTATGGTATACAGAGACCAGTGTCACATATGCAACCTGCCATGGGTTTTCCTGCCCCTGTTCAACAAAATGCTTTTGATATTGGTAACCCTTTCGCGACGCCATCCCCTCTGGCTCAAGGGAGTAGTTCTCAGCCATCTGGCGCTAATTTAAGTAAGCAAGATTTGCTTGATTTCCTTGGTTGAATCTATGTATGTCTTAACTTTTTTTTCAATATCATTTATCCTAGAATTTGGAAGGACCTGTTTCCATCCAATGTATTTCTCAAAGCAATTTTGCAACTTATATTTGGAAGTTACTTGAAAAGGACCCGCTGTGGTCCCAAAAGATACATTAGCATTGTGACATTAGAAATAGTAAAGTTAGGTTGCATGATTTTCGATTGTATCCATCCAACCGAGATATTCATGCATAGAATGGTTACTTTAGAGGTCTAGTACCAGTGGGTTCCATTTACTGCTTTTAAATACCATACCATGTCAAATTTTAAATTTATAAATTTGAATTATATTGGTGCTAAAATTAAATCTTTACATTTACATGTTTATCAAAAATCACTGACATCTTTCTGATTTCCTATTTATTATATAGTTTTTTTTTTATGTATGCATTTATTTCCAATATCTTATATATTTTTAATGTTGCTGCTTGAACTGATACATCATCAAAATTCTGCTCAGCTTAATACGTTGTTTCTCTATCAACGTCAAGACCTGGAGAGCCCTAAGCTTTAATACTTCGTCGTCTTGTGCTATGCTGATATATACGGTATATATATATATATATATATCCCAATGCCACCTTCCACAACCACGAATCAATGAACTATTCAGCTTCGCAAAATACGAGTAAGTATTTTGCGATATATTAACAAATTTGATGTGCCTATAGAAGTGGACTGCCCACGATCAGGGACTGAAAATCTCTAACATATCCCTTTTCTCCACCCACATACATGCATTGTTATCGGCCCCTGCTTTATTTGAACTGGTATTCAAACTGTAGGTGGCGGTTATATGCTTGAGGCCATATTATGGACGTTTCAATTCAGAGAATATATGTAGTGATCCAAAGACTACTTATGTTGCATGTGCCACTGATGTTAATTCAACTGTATTTATTTTTCTATGTTCTGTATTTTCTTGATTGATTGTATTAGCTCTGCCTTATTTTCTTGTAACCTAGTTGGATCGCTTCTGATTCCCAAATCCTGAAGCGTCCGTTTATCTAAGAAAGTCGTGGTAGAAACAGCGAAAATCGATCATCGAAAACCTGCTTTGCGGAAGCCGTTCTTTTGGAAACTTACTACTAGAAGGTCCGACGAATTCGGTACGTTTAGTAGGAGTTTTGAAACGTTTGTTAAGCGTTCGTCATCGTTAGTTTTGCTGCCCTTTGTGTTGTGTGATAAATATCCCAATGTTGAATATGATGTTATTCTAATGAATTTTAAGTAATTGAATGCTATCCTATTATCTGTGCAATACACCATAATATTGCGAATGCTTCATAATTTATCCATTATGGCCCACATGTCATCAGGATATTGCAAGACACACACAAACAATCTGTTCACTCGCAAACAACCGAGACATGCGAGAGCACAAAAGAGAAAACATCCCAGTGAGCCTTGTTTGGTCGAAACTACCTTGGCGAAAACCCGCTGGTCCTGCGAATATAAGGCGTCAACGACGTCGTTCATGAGGATATATTAGCAAGTAAGGGAGAAAAAATTTCCTGATTGACAAAGACTGCACATCGGGGAGAAGATTCGCTAAGTAAGGTACCAGGGTAATAATGGCAGTGAGGCAAAGATTTGGTCCTCGGGAGCGGTCGAAACGGCAAAAGCGGTTACTTTTTGTTGCAAAACCAGGACGCCCTTGCTTACGCATGGAAATAGCTTCACAATCGACCTTAGTTTGGCGAAGTGTGAATGGAAACCGGATGGATCTAATCAATCATCCCGGTTTGTCACGGGCAATGTTCTTTAAATAGCACCGCCACAGTGACCATTTTGTTTTTAGTAAAGTGATTTCTTGGCGATGCACTCAATGTTTACAACTTTACATAATACATAGTTTTTGTTTATTGTAGCGCCTTGGTTTTAAGAAATAGATTAAAGCTACTCCATCATTTTCGTGTTATTAGGACTTGTGTCACAGTCGATATGGTCAGCGCACCTTAATAATACGGAGAGATAGATAAAAATCCAGTCTGTAATACGACCATATTATAGCGATCTATGGCCCGAATATGTGACCGATTTACACGGAAATAATATATATATATGACAAAGTTTGTGAGAAAATCGAAACCGGCCCTGTCGCATACAGATCATTTTTCTGTAAAACATAATATAAATAAGCGTGACGTATTATGATGAAATGGGTCCAGCAGTGGCCCTGATGATTGTCTTAAATGGGGTATTTTTTAATTTGAGAAGTGAGGGATGCTTGTGGTATCCTCAATTGTTTGTGTTTGACAGAGCTTTGCATGCTCATCTAAAAGAAGTACCACTGGCGAGTAGTTGTTATTCTCCCGCTTTACCATAAGATTTGTTTACCTCAAAAATTAGAGTTGAAATGCCAAACTTCGAATTACACAATGCGGTAAGTAAATGGCAATTCTTTGTAATAATGCTAGAATAAAATAAATCTTGATGTGAACATTCGAATAAACGTTTTAGGCATTTTTCCTTGGCTCACCACCAGAGTTCGCTCTTGCACTGTCTCAAACTAACATAATAAACTATTGCGATCTTGATTCGACCGCATCCTTACATACTCTCATTGGTGGTCAAAAAGGGGTTTGCAATTAAATATATGGAATTTACCAAAATAAACAGTGTTATTAAATGAGAAATGTCATGATTGAGTGCTGTTAATACTAAGTTCTGTTAATTTTGCTATCATTAGTTCGACTATCTATTTTGTATATATTTCTGTCTACTTTGCTAATTCCCGTAATGTTTTGATTACTTAATTACTATCCTAATTATCTATCGTTAAACAACATTACTGACGCGTGTTTTGGATCAGCACATTGTTTATCTGCGATTTTCTGTTTTTGTGGTAGGCCTAGGTGTGGGAGCAAAAGGCCTCTGTTTCACTTGCGGACATCATCTGATTTCAATTGTGAGTACCATTTTTTGCAAATGATGGCGGAAAATTTCAGTACAACTACGCTGTTTGGGGGCCTGTCCATAATAATCTATTTGATGGATAAATCATTGTTGAGATACCTTTATTTTTACAGGAGTGGCGGTGTCATCTACTAAATAACTAAATAACACCACATTGCGAAACTGCATCTAACAGATAAACAGTATTACGGCAGGGATTTGCATGCAGTGCAGTTTGTCCCAATGATATACGTCATTTGGGATAGGTGGTTTTATAATTGAATGTCACGTACCTATACTACTATCCTCTTGGGGGTCTGTTTGCGATTCCATTCATGAAATCATCGCTATTAAATATGGACGTTTTATCATGTGCCATCCGAAGAACCGTTGTAAAAGACACCAACTCCCAAGTGAACATCTAATTAGCTGAATGTTGCCATTTGATTATATCGTCGGGTGACATCGGTGTCAGTTATTTCTATACTTTCTGACATTTCCGATTAATGTGTTATTCAATATTCAAGCAATACAAAGTGCCATTCATTAATACAAAATATTGGCAGGCTTATCGCTTCTTTTCAAAATGACGGCCTGAAAGGGGGAAGGTTTGGCTAATTCAAGGCAATTATTTGATACACACAGACGTTTTGCATACACCAATTGTTGTTTATATACAAGTATTATTTGTTTGGGTGGTGCATTAACACAAATGACCTGGTATGTATCGCCTACATGTTGTTGCGTCACAATTTAGTTATAGTGGCCAGCTGTGACCTAGAAATTAATCGTTCTATACACTGCATACAATTGATTATGTAGTTTGGAAAATACGTTGAATCGTAACGCCACCGCGATATGCCACACGCGACGCTGTTAATTAAATACGTAGAATCACTTTCGGAAATTGATATATTACGAATTCTACGGACAGTGCTGCGTGTTATAGCGCGATATTATAAATATCATAATTTTGGCGTATCGAAATATAGTCATTTTTTCTTTCTTTTAAAGTAATCAAACATGAATTTTATATTTCCACATAAACCTAAAGGAAATCACACTTATTCGGCATTTTAGTCCGTCGTCAGGATTCTAAACTCTTTTGATCTGTGAATATACACAAAATCATATTATTATATATATATATATATGACACTAACCGGCCTTGGCTTCCAAGCTGCGGTTCGATTTAATATCTCCCCCACGAAGTATGTGACTATGTGTCAGGACCGACAATCGTAAAAATCTATGAATCAGCTATTCTGTTAGTGTCGATGTATATATATGAAACAATAAAATACCCGATTAAATCGTAAATCGTCTATCCTATGCTAATATTTATAAATTCTGTACGGTAATAAATTAATAGCTAAGAAGGGTTTTTGTTGGTTGATCACGGAATATTAAACATCTATAACCCATTACCTATTTGCGGATTCGTGTTTGTTGAACAATGCGCATACCATGCTCCAGGTGACACTCCATATGAAAGTGAAATATTACTTTTTACGATAAATTCGATATGGGTTATAATGATATGTAATAATTGTCGTACTTAATACATCACCTGCGACCTCCCGGGAGCCAATACTTGCGAAAATAAAGTTGCGCAATAACACGATTTTTGGATACTTGGTCCCCTCGTCTACGTGAGACCGGTGAAGCAAATACACTGTCGAAGAGCGAAAAATGGTAGCCTTCATACTTATGAATTATATAAGAGTGTTATATTGGATATTGCTTGAAGACACGTACTACAGCAACCAAATTGATACAAATTTATGCGTAAAATCATGTATGCTCACTCCTCAGTGAGTGTCAGTTTAACCGGTTATAATATTTCGTATTGCTGATCCGAGGTTTTGCGGATTATTTTATTTATAAGTGTGACGACCTGCGGTGTTAATAAAGCGAAGATATATATGATAACTTGACATGTTTATTGTGCTTCGGGTTCTGTATTAAGACTTATTAGGACGATATTGATTATATCAGTTTCTATTACTCGTTCAAAATTTACTTTCGAACATAAAATGTATATGATTATGTATGTAATTGACGTAACAATGTAAATATTAACACACGGAAAACTGACCAATAGTGCATAGTTTCAGCTGAAGCATGCAGTCCAACCTTTCTGGTATTTGAGAGAACTTTCATCGCACTCTGGTGAACCGGTCTGGAAGCTCATCCGCCGGAACCCGATGACTGTTTGAACCAATAAAAGTCCATTCAAAACTTATTTATCATTCTTGACTAAGCATGATAAACCATTTAAAATCATTCTCTTTTGTTTTTGTTTAATCAAAGATATTTCTCGGTTGCGAACGGGCTCAAATGGCCTTCGACAACAATACGCGCACTAACAAAGTCCCATACTAGAATTATCATAATTGGACAAATACCATGTGATTGCTGTCGTAGCTTGATACGAAGAATTTTAAGTGGAATATTTGTCGTATCATCATGCACTTATATCTAGTTAGTAAACTACAAAAGCAATTTGGCGACATGACAACAAACTTATGGCGACGACCATACGCTTGATGAGATGTATCACATGTTCATCTGCTTGTACTACAGGGGTTGACAATAAACGCTCCCGGCTCACGAATTCATAATAATTCACTTGAAAAAATTTCAGTAACTTCACAAACGTGGCACAATCATTAAATGGGATTGACTAGGCCGAGTTCGTGAGTGAGGTTTAGCAAAGTTTGAAACTTTCATCTCCAACGTCCAATAAGATATTTTCAAGCCAATACAGATGTTCGTCAAACCTAATAATTGCTCAATTGCGATTAATTTCAATAACTTTTTTGGTCCACAAAGCCTCGGAGGAGTTTTTGGACAGCCGTTTCTCACAAAATAGAGAAATAAAGTGAAATCTGAAGCGTTGTTATGATATAAACCTTCCAGTCATCGTGGCATCGCAGTCGCACTATTTAAACAAGTATTTAATAATGATTTAAATAGTTGTATAAAAATAGCGAGATATCATGCAAAAACAAACTATTATTGGTCAAATTATGTGAGGGAGCGACATAGTTGACCACAATTCTCCCAAAAAAATATTTTTGTCGTGAATGTTATACTTCCAATTTGGTACATAAAAGTACGCTCTTCTTTTTTAAATGTTACGCTGGTGCGTTGAAATTGAACTGAACAAACCACCATCTATACTTTTGTGTAAATTTCGTGCATTGTAAATATTCATGCGCGAGATATGAAAGAAAATATTTAAAAATAAGTTTTTCAAAGATTAGAAAATATGTTTTTCTTCTCATTTCGACGAAAAGTTACCTAAGCATACTAATTTTGTATTCTAAATCTGCAATTATGGTTAAAACGCTTAAATTTCCCATAATTGCGGTAAAATTTATCTCTAAAGTCGAACAATAAAATGTCTGCCAGAGCGAGTTGATCGGGAATGTCGCGGCGCCGCAGAACAACGATGGCACAAGTGGCGACGACTGGTAATGTATGCTATAAATATTCGCATCACTTAATAGTTCTTATCAGATTAATCATTACAATAAAGTGTAAGTTTACCAATTTACCAAAACTATTTGAACGGTTTCAAATTATAAATTTCTCTTCAAGTTTATGTCATGGCTTCAATGTTTCAATTTATCATTTTACGATATTAGTAATAAATAAATACTGTCGTACAAAATAAGTTCACCAGAGGTCACTGCGAGTGAGTTTGGACTCAAATTATTGAAATGAAATTTTTTGGGACATTTCACTCCTAATTAAAATGGAACACAGAAAGTTGTTATCAACCGTTGCACTGTCAGAATCTTTGTATTGACACCGTACAATCGTTTTCATTATATGAACCATGGACTAATATAATAAATTTATTTTGACATTACTGCAGACGATAATATAATTTATATAATTAGTTGCGATTAACCACAGTATACAAACAAAACATGGGATTTATTTGGCGTAATGTTTTACCAACAAATGTGCTCAAGAATCTTGATCGTTCCTGATAAAGAACCTCCATTGTGTTTGCATATTATCTCGACTATGGCAACTTACCATAAAATGTAATACATTTTAATCGCACGCGACTAAGAAGGAATTTTGTCAAACCGTTTTTATCGTTCCCACGGCATTAAAAACATCTCGGGCTGTGGTTTTTCTTGCTCCGCCCGCGCTGATTATGGGATATTATTAGGAATAATTCACAGTTTTATTGAAACGAATCGTTATTATTTTAGATGCCTTTTGTAATAATGTGGGCGAGACTGGTTTTTATGATAAACTCGTACAAAAAGACAGTAATAGCTATTTTGTTAAATGTATATAAATTAGTAACGATTTGCGTTTCATAATGGGGTTGTGCAAACAAAAAGAGTAAATTTTTGCCCACGTTTATTTTATAAATGGACCCGAAATTATCACGAATTTGAATAATTGTAAAAGCAAAGGGCAATTTTTATTTATGTGTGCATATAAAGTCTCGTAATGTTAGCATATTTTACGTTTATTTGTCACATATTTGCCATGTCATATGAAGTGCAAATACAATTATATTTCGTGAAGATTTCAATAAAATTCAAAAGACAATGGAGAGGAAAAGGTATAGAAAAAATACGGATAATGGAAAGCTAATGGACGGCAGACGTAGAGAAAAAACGTCAATATTCCGTGAAATATGTGGGTACAAAGTATTTTCAGCATCATTCTCGACTGCTTTCTATATGCTAGTCTTGTTTATATCAGTCTTTAACCAAAACTGTCGACTTCTAAAATTGACGGTGATTAAAATTCCCGCATTAACATCTCAGTCTTAATGAGCGTATTTACTTGCCACAATATAATTGACTCTTTTCTCAAATGCTAAATTTGTTCTTTAATTGACATTCTTTATTGGAATTTGCTGTCATAATCCTTATAATAGTAAGAGTCTTGTTGACTACGTTTTGTAGAAATCGTGCAGAGATTCACTTCAGCAGTTCTTCAATTTTTTTTGTCTTCCTTTTTTTTTATCCTGTC